CGTTGACATGTCAAGTTTTCCACTTGCAAAGCGCGTGATGAACAGCTCTGTCGAATGCCAAACATACAATCTGCTTCGTTTAAGGATAACTAGTGCCACTCTCGTTTTCACCTTCATCTATGCTTGATATTTGTGATGGTTGATCTTTACGCTTTGATCTACACTCGAAAAAGTCTTTCTGCTCAGTCGTCATTGCTATGAAAACTCAATGGAAGAGACGTCTAGCCAATTAGGGGGAAATACCCTTTCTGTGGCAACAATGGGTACAATGGCCCATCTTTCTGTACCGAGAGTCTCAAAGCATTTGCTAAGTACTCGAAAGGTAACGGGAAAGTAGTGAGGGATGCACAAACTACCATAGTGAAAATAAAGACGGTAGAGGGGGGGACACCTACGATAAAAACTTAAGTCAACTCATAGCGAAGCAAAAAGAAAATATGTTTGTGAAGAGAAAGACCTGATAGGATCGAACAGAGCATAGGTCGTCAACCAGTACGGTGTCTAGGTGTCGTAGCCAGGAGCCTGAGAAAACGTTTCCCCAGTGTTCATCGAGAGCAGTAGAAAGACGCTGACGGATACTATGAAAGACGTCCGTCGAACTCACAATCACCGCCACCTCATCTCCTCCTTCAACAGGCCTTGTTCGTTCTGTTGTGAGGTGAAAGGAGCCGGAGCCCGAGGCAAACTTGAGTGGCTTCGACTCATCCATAAAGTTGGAAATTTCCTGTATGATAATAGGAGAAAAGAGGGAGCATTGTCACTTGTGTTTAATGTCGTTCTAAAAGGGTAGGAGACGGGCACACATACAGTGTAGAAAGCCATAACGTCCTCGGCCGTCCAGAAGAGCGGTGACCCAGCCAACACTTCGATAGAACAGCGGCTGGAGGGGTCAGGACTCAAGGCTTCCTGGATGAGCTGTTGCGCCAGGCAACCTTATCAAAGTAAAACAAATTTCATATCGCTTGGACTAACTAGTAACTGTCAGCTTTCCAACAAGCCAAATTTTTAAAAGTCACTTGCATCCATATACAATATCCGGATTCAAGTTCTACTCAAGTGGTATGTCCACTCAAAAGGGCAAAGAAGAATGGACATAAATACAGGTTGGTCCTTCACTCTAGAAGGAGAGGAGAAGCATGCAGACAAACACTCACTCCGCATCTTGTCCGGCTTCTCCTCATTCGTCTCAGCGCCTGCCGTCATCACCACTCGAACACAGTTTTCAAGATTGTTTAGACGTGGCGCTTGAAGATCATTGATAGCCTTCTGCATGCTTTGCAAACTCGCCAAAGATGTGTAGACTTCGCGTAGGCGTCTTGGCCTCGCTGGCACTGCCTCCCTAGCCTTTGATGAAGAAACAGCCTCCAGGGGAGAGAAAAATGGATGACCACCAAGAGAGAGAATAAAGTAGGCCACAAGACCGAATGCGAATACGTCCACTGACTGGGTCTAGAAGTGGCAAAAAAGTTGCATCCATTGCAGGAGACATTCATGTTATTGAGCACCATAAAGAAGTATGAGGAATTAGTAAAGCAAATAATGAGACAATGAGAATTAACGTGACTGTCACTGAACTAATGTTGTTTGCTGATACAATTAACTTGATTACCGACACCATACCAAAGCTTCATTTGAAGAAGCACACATCTCCGGAGCCATCCAACCGAGACTCCCAAATGTAAAAGCACCACTAGCTCCAGTAGTCGGCCATCCTCCATCGTCAGTGGTGCTCGTAGTGTTGGACGGTTCAACACAAATAGTGTTGGTGAAAAATCCATTCTCCAGAGGCAAAGATAGCCCAAAGTCTCCAAGAACTAGACGATTTACAGCTGCCGCAGTGGTAGTGGTGTCAGAGGAGGGAGAGGAAGCGGACGAAGAGGTTGCTTCCAGGATGAAGATGTTGCTCGGCTTGATGTCGCGGTGAACTAACGAAGAGACAGAAGGCATGGATAGCGGTAACTCACAATTGTTGACAGGACTCCCTCAATGTTGATAAAGTCAACTGTCTAGACGGTCCGTTTTGCCAATCACCCTCTGAATGACGTGCAACCATTTTGCTCTTTAAAAATCTGTTGTACGAACCAGCTACGTAACCCTGCAAATTCCTTTTGCTAAAAGCATAGTCTTTTTACTTTGATGTAGTCTTTTTGTGGGTAGTAAATGAAGCTACCTAACGATGATGAGAAATAGGATCAAGTAACACCTATAGCAACTATCTCTTCCTTTCTTCAGTTCCTGTTTTTCAAGGTAGCCGATGCTTTTACTGAAACCGGTGATTTCTACTAGAGTACACTTGATGAAATCACACGACATCTCTTCTGCGTTGATCATTCCAACTGATCTGGTGACCAGATTTCTAAAAACTAAACCATAGCAGCAGAAGAGACGTGCTAGGTGATTATAAAAGAACCCACCATAAAAATGCAAACAGGAATGGAAAGCTGTAAAGTGAATAAAATTTCGATTAACTGAAGAATGATATACACACTCTGTCACGACCTCAATAGAGAAAAAAAGCCAAATGAAGAGTAGCTATATCCTTGAGACAGTAGTGAAGCGAGTCATTGCTCCCTGATCAAACAACTCGATGGCCGCAAAGGTCACGTATGAAGGCTCAAAGTAACCAACTAGTTCAGAAGATTCAATGGTGGAAGCGGATTGGCTACTTTGCCAAGAGCAACACGCATCACCTTTTTAGGGGCCGAGGAATCATCCTCACGTCATCTGCCTGCGTGATTTAGTGTTATGCGCCATTAATATAAGCCAGTAGTTACGACCCTATCAGTCAAGAGCACAATTCCACGCCCATTCCAAGATGAAATCCATTTTCAAAGAAGTTTAAATTTTCCCATCGAAAAGTTATATCGCAATAAAGCATCCAGTCCAAAAGCTTCGGCCCTAGATAAATTGCTTACCTTGCCAAGAGCAGTAATGCACCTTTTGGGGTAGCATAGATGTCTCGTTACATATTTAAGTGCAAACAGAGGGAATTAAAGTGGTATCAACTTATTAAGGAGGCAGGAAATTAGCCAATCAGATGCCAGGAGTTATCCTCAGATCATCTGACTTTGATTCAATACTTCACGACATTCATTTATTCACCTTTGACCTTTGAAAAGAGCTAGCGGTTACGTCTCCACCTAACCAAGCTGTCGACAGTTCCAATTTCGAAGAGGGCCACAATTTGATTCTGGCCTACTTTGGATTCTCAAGCATCCGTCAAGTAGTGATGATACACGAGAAAAATAGGCCAACACACGGGAAATAAGCAACAACCCACCAATCGAGTTGGAGTGGAGAAAGACCACTGCGTTAAGGAGCTGATGAACACACTCCACCGGTGAGAGACCAAATCGACTCAGTGGATTCTCCTTCTCAGACAATGAAGCGCCTTCCTCGGCATCCAGGGCCTCAAGAAGACTTGTCACGCAACGTTGAAGCACGAGGTAGTGGAAATTTGGCGAACTGCCCTAAAGGCACAAATTAAACACAGGGCTGACAAGAGTGATTTGAGAGGTGGCCTAATTTTGACTAACAAAAATGACGCCTGCTTCAATCTCTAGGTGTTGAATATCAAGGCATTTCGATTATACCATCTAGCTCAACAGTTCAAAAATAGTAACAGATAGATGTTTTGCGCATGCAGAACTTCAGTCACTCGCAAATCAACCCCACATCGATGGCACACAATTTCGAATACGTCACTTCAATCTTTTACAGACCACCTCCAGAATGGC